CCATGCATATCCTTAAACATGCTGCCCTGACCTAGTCACATGGCTGGGCTACTGGACCAGGGCTCTGGGCAAGAACTTAACGGTGTGCGCTACTTTTTAAAACATTGATGGGGGTTGGTTTTTGTTGTTATTTTTGTTTTGTTTTATTGAGACAGGGTCTTTCTGCAGCCCCAGCTGACCTGGAACTCACTGTGTAAACTAGGCTGGCTTCAATCTCACAGAGATTCACCTGCCTCTGCCTGCTAGGTGCTGGAAGTCAAGGCATGTGCCACCACACCTGGCAAAAGTGGCCATTTTATTTTTTATTGAATTTTTGTGTATTTCATACAGAACATCTTAATAATCTTTATAGCCCTTTCCCATAGTGTCCCCCCACCACTGGAATTCATGCATTCTGTCATTCGTGTTAAGGCCTATCATGTCAAGTTAGTGTCCCCAGACATTCCTCAGTTCAAGTTCATCCACTGAGGTCCAGTTAGCCTATCTATGACTCCCTTTAAGAATCCTTCCCTTTAAGATGATCAGCTCTTCCTCATCCAGCAGTAATCAGCTGCCAATAATTCTTTGACTAAGATTGGGGCCTGCTGTCCATTTCCACAGTTCTGTGCTGGGGTTTTGTCTGCTTGAGTTTGCATCATCTTGTGCATGCTGACACCATTGCTGTAGGTTCATATGAGAAGAGTCCCAGGAGCCTGTAGGACTCTTATTTCCATATGGTCGTGCACCTCCTCCGTGGCTCTTACAGTCTTTCTGTCCCCTCTTCTGCAATGGTCCCTGAGCCCTGGGTGGGTGAAGTTTAATATAGGAGTCCTGTCCAAGGACCCACACTCTGCAGACTCTTATTTTCTATGTTTTGGCCATTTGTGGCCTTTTGTGCTCCTGGCCCTCTGTTGCATGAGGGAGCTTCACTGATGAGAACTGAAGGATGCATTAATGTTCTCTTCATCCCGTGTTCTATGTTCTGTGAGCCTTAGGTGTAGAGGTTGCATCCTAGATGTGCCATTTAGGCTTTGGCAATTCACAGTCTCTGTGTGTGACCAGTTGTGGAACTCTGTAATAATCTCTGTTTGTTGAAAAAGAAGCTTCTTTGATGGGTGGTGACTGGGATACTTGTCTGTAAATTTAAGGATCCATATTTTGCACATAGTAAGAAATTACATTTGTCTAGGGCTATGAGAGCGTTGGGGCTTTCTTTAAGATCTAAGACCTCTCCAGCTCTGTGTATTTGGCTAGGATTATACTACCACACATGAGTTTCCTCCCATTGAGGAAAGTGGCCATTTTAAAGTGCATCACTGAGTGGTCTTCAGTTGGCACCCATCGTCTCTCTAGTTCCACCATATTTACTCATCCCAAAAGGACACCACACCCATCAGGAAGCCATTCTCTGTTCTTCCCTTCCCCACCTGTGGGAATCACTCAATTTCTGTTTAAGACCTCAGCTCTTGAGCCTTCAGTCTGCACCTGAAACAGCCCACCCTTAGCTTGGGGGGTGTGAAGGGAGAGTAGGTTTCTCAGGGGAGTGGGCATAGCCTTGCATGTGCCTTACCTACAGAGAAATGCACAGGGGTAAAGCGGGCATATTTGGACGGCTTTATCCACCTGTCTGTACCCCAAAGCTTCCCCCTGCCTCTTCCCCAGTGGTAGCCACTGTTCTGATCTTTTGACCCAGTAAGTTTGCCTGTTGCTTACTGTCTGAATGAAGTGACATGCAGTAGATGTGCCCATGTTTCTGAGACTCACCCAAGTGGTTGCTCTGTGAATCTGCTTGCTCTTTTTCTGTGATATGTTAGCTGATTTATATATCTAAATGTTTGGGCTGTTTCAGGTTTCTTGGCCCTGTAACCTTAACATGGGCTCCTGGCCCTCCCTGGACATGGAGGGCTAACTCCCCTTTCTCCCCAGAAGTAAGGTGGCAGAACTTCTGAGTAGTTACGAGCAGACGGGCTTGGGAGCCACTGAGAATTCTGCCTAGACCTGCCTCTCCAGTTGCCATCTGTGTGGCCTTGACCGGGAGACAGACACTCTGAGCCTCAGAGTTTTCATCTGTAAAGCTGGTTCATGATAGCACATATACACCCATGGGATTTTTAGCAGGGTTGCAGCAGATGATGTCTGATGAAGCATGGACCTGGGACATTGAAGGCTCCTGGGCAACAGCAGCAAGGGAAGCAGAGGTCTCCGCTAGCTTGCACGTGGGCAGGGCATGTGTCCCAGGCTCAGGCAGCTCAGACTATGAGTAGCACAGCTCCACGCTGTGGCCTCACTTGAGCATTCTAACCATGCCCCTGCCCACCCTTTTCCATGAAAGGTTTTTGTATTTCATCTCCAGAAACTGCAATTTTCCTAAACTTCCTAACCCCCGACCACTCTTTATTCCCATAGAGCTGGAAAGCAATCATGCCTAATTCCCCAGCCCACGTCTCCATGAGCCGACGGGAAATCACAGTCGCTCATAAACAGTGCAAGTGGATTAGGATTTTTACAAATTGGAAGCCACCTTTGATGATTTAATGAGGCTGAATACACCTGGGGGTGCACACTGACTCTCACCCCCATCCATTTTCTCATTCAGCAGACCTGCATGGAACCCCTACAATGTTCTGTGCCCCTTAGAGGGAAGTGGGCAGAGTCCACTGTGTAGCAGAGCAGACTTGAGCCTTGACTTCCTTATTCACATGTTGTCGCTGAGCTGCACTAATTGATGGGACAGGGATCACATGGCTATATAATAGGCAGTAAATAGCCGGAGGACCTAACTGTTTGTGGGTCATGGGACCATGGAGGAATTCACTTCCTTCTCCTAAGAGGAGAATGAGTATGAGTGTGCATATGTATCTGTGAGTGTGTGTATGTGTATGTGGTGTGTGTGTTCATGTGTGAATGTGTATGTGTCTTTGTATGAGTATGTGTATGTGGTGTGTGGGAGGGTGTTGCCTTTAAATTAGAAAGGGCAACAAAACTATTTTCCTTTCTGAGGAAAGTTTCTGGCTCCATAAGTCTTTCTTTTCTTCCCAGGGGAAAAGCAAGTTGACACTGGTCACTTCTGGATAAAGGGATGATGAACAGGGTTGTGAGGCAGCTGCTTCTCAGCTCTGCAGGAATTAAGGGCTCCAGGACAGAGTGATGAGGGGTTTAGGAAGTTTTAGAGACCTGCCATGTCTGGAGGTGTAATATCAAAACCTTTCATGGACAAGAGCAGGCGGGGCCACAGTTGGCCCAGGCGAGGCCCCAGAGCGGCTGGTGATTATCTCTGTTCTTTGTTTTCTTTCTTTTTTCCTCCAAAGTTAACAGGAATTTGTTTTCCAGGCGGGGGGTGTAGCTTAGAGAACTCATCTAGTATTTTTGAGGCTCTAGGTTTGATCCCCAGCACTGAATACATTTTTAAAAATAAGGCACCATGACTTCTTATGAGGACAGACAGCAGGCACAGGATGAGGCACTATGTGACCTTCAGAAATCCCCTAGAAATCTCCCACTTCCTGGGAAAACTTAGCTTCCTCAGAGAGGTGCCCCAGGACCCCAATGGGTACTTCAGAATTGCCAGTGTCCCAGAGTATCCTGGATTCCCGTCACAAGGAACGAGGAGCTGGCATAATTGGTTTAAGATGCCCAGCCATGAAATCCCAGAATAGAAAACCCCAGGACCCCTCATCGCCCCCTCACTTCTCAAACCCCCACTGCAAAAAGCCTGAAAACCAAAACCCAAAGATGGCATCAGGATAGGGCTGTCAGATGTAGCAATAAAAATACAGGCATCCAGTTAAATTTAAATTTAAGATAAACAAAAAAAGTTGAGTGTAAGTGTCCCATGCAGTATCTGGAACATGCTCACACCAAAAAAAGAATTTTTTTGTTTATCTAAAATTCAAATGAACCCAGGCATCATGTATTTCATCTGGCCACCAGCCTGGGAAACACAGTTCCCGTCTTTCGGGGCTGTGCCTTCACTGCCCCAGAATTTGAGCCAAAGTTGTGTCAGAAAGCAAAAGGGGGCCACAGGCTTCATGTAGGTTTTGGTCTGGTGGAAATGTATGCTTTGGCTGTGTGTGTCCTCCCTCCAGTGGGTCCAACTGCCACATTGGTGAGGCCAGACCCAGGCTGCTTAGGAAAGAATCCAGGGTTCTGGGAAGGAAAGTAACTGGCCCTGAAGCACCCAGTCTGCAAGGGTGGGTACATCTGTGTTTGGCTCAGTGGTTCTCAGTCCTGGCTACACTCTGTGTTCCCCTGGAAGCTCTGAAAAGCCTGATGCTTAGGCTTCACCCAGGCCAATGGCATCAGAACCTGTAGGGCTGGCTCCTAGCATCTGGATTACCCAAGGCTCTCAGGTGACATAGCCTGCAGCCCAGCCCAGAGTGCGATCTTGAGGAACCCTTTTGCATGTGTGCCTCCCTCCTCCCTCCCTGTTAGCCAGTCCATCACCCATACATGGGAGGGAATTCTTCCCAATCTCATTTCATCATGATGTATTTGTGTGATCACTGACCTGTGTCACATGTGCCATCAATTAGGGCACTCAGAGACAACTTGCACATAGGAAAGTGAGGCTCACATCTGCTGAGTTACACAGCCATTCTGCAGGGCACAGAACATTGTAGGGCTCCCTGGAGGCTGTCAGAAGGAGCCTCGTCCCTCTTCCCAGGCAGCATAGAGGGGTCTAGGTCAGAACTACCCCCATCCTTCCTCTGCCCAGTGGTGGCTGGCTGGTCAGGTTAAAGTAGCATCACCATACCTACCTAGGCCATGCATTGCAGACCAGACTGAGATCTTTGGTTCCAAGTGACAGAAACCTGCTTCAGTTTCTTTTAAGAGAAAAAGAAAAAAGTTCTACCTTGTGACTGCGGTAAAGGGCAGTGCCTGGGGTGGCACTTTGTCAGTCCTTCTCAGCTTGGCTCTCCTGTGGGGCAGAGGAAGGGCCACCTGCTGCTGCAGTTCTGCGCCCTAAAGCTGCTTTTCCAGGTCTCAAGGTCACCAGAGTTACTGGCTCCATCTATCCAATGAATGAGGTTCACACTCATTTCTGGACCCATGGCCATGGGCAAGAGGTGGGACAGTTACTGACCAGATTGAGGAGCCCCTAATTCTTAGGGTATGGCAGTGGGGGGTGGGTAGTTCTCCCCAAAGGAAATCTGGGTGTGGGTACCAGAAAGGTATGGTGGCTGGAGTGTCAGCCCTCCATGGGCCTTGTAGGACATCACTTACCTGACTGGAAAAAGTGCATACCTCTGCTGACACAGAAGGCATCTGCCAGGGATTTATATCAGGAGCCCTCTGGACACCAAAAGTACTCAAATTCCTGATAGAAAGCAGTGAAGTATTACAGGGGACCCACGCCACACACTTCCACCTACTTTAAATCTTGTCTAGATGGCTTTATAATACTTGATACCGTGTAAGAATGACATGGATTGTTATTCTGTAGTGTGTATGTCTGCACAAGTTCAGATGCTGTTTTCTGGAAGCTTTCCCATTAACAACTGGCTCGAGCTACTGGAAGCTTTCAATGCCAGAGAAACTTAACAATTACTGGGCCCCTACTTGGGTGATGTCCTCTACTCCTCCTGTTACCCCAAGGTAGGAAATACCATCATCTGTAGACCGTTCACGTGGCCAAGGTCACGTAACAGCTGGTGGCTCTAGAGCCACAGTTGGGTCATTACTGTTAGGTAGTATTTGCTCTAGACTTGAACTGTTACATCTATGATGTAAGGCTGAGTCTGAGACTCCTACTCCAGCTGCAGGAGATGACAGAGGGCAGGTAGAGGTAACCAGCTGACCAAGGGCCTTGGAGAGGTTGGCCCAAGACCCAGAGGTGCTTCAGTCAGGGCCCTGTGTGCACCCACATCAGGCAGGGAGGGACAGCTACAGCTGGCTTCATGTAAAGCCCACTGTGAGCAGGCCAGGGTCATAGGCTTTGGGAGTTAGCATTCTTTCCAGACAGGCCATACCACTGTCCGCTCCCTGCCCCAGAAGTAAGGCACCTGCTTGGCAGGGGTCCCAAGGGCTACACATTTCTAGTCTGGAGCCAGGCCTCTACTCTGCTGGCTTGTCTAGCCTCCCAAGGGCTCCTGAAGACCCCTGGTAAGCACGATGCCCCTCACACTGTTCTGCCCATTCAATCCTTTTCACAAGCCACTGAGAGGTAGGGAAACTGAGGTCACAGGACTTGCCAGGCCCATGGTCGAGTTTCTTTTGACTGACAGAAGGGCAGCATCCAGAAAAGTGTGGACTGGGTGCCTGCATATGGGCTCCATCCCTAACACCCAGGTCAGTGTTCCTATCTTCCTTTGGCACCTCACACCCCTGCCTAGTCTCTCCCCACTCCCCACCTAATCTGTATGGCCACACTGAGGGAGTCTGCTCTTGCACAGTGCTCGTGTGCTGCATCTACTGTCCCCACTAAATCTTTCCCATCCATGCACACAGATGTCTGGGAGCACCCCAGCCTCCAATTCATTTTGTCAGCACTGAGGACCAAAGCCATGTGCACACTAGGCAGGTACACCACCACAAAGCTACACATCCAGCCTGCTTCCATCTTTTTTAAATGCCCTTGACTGTCTCCCCCAGCAACTGCTGTCCCACTTCTGGTCTTCAGGGTCGACCTTTCTCAACTCTTGGCCCTACTATCTCCCCATCTGCCCTCATCATCACAGGCAACATGGCCCACGCCTTCCCCAAACTTCAGCCTCCGCTCTCCTTACTCAGCCTTGAACTGGCTCCTTGAATGCTGCTCCAAGTTCCTAAGCCTCCCAAGCTCCTGTTTAATTCACCTCCCTGTTGCCCCTCCCCCTGCCTGTCCTCCAAGTTGACAGTCCTGGATTCTATACTAATAGCACTTGCATCATAAAGTGCACATACTAAAGTGTATGTTTTATACAACATATATACAATGTATACAGTGTATGAAAACAGTACATGTAAATGTGTATTTTTATATGTTCAGTTCTTAGAGCCACCCAGAATGTGTGTATATGTATATATGTGTGTATATGTATATATATAATGTAGATAGATGTGTGTGTTTGTATAAACAGCTGAAGAATGAACAAGCTGTCATAAAGCAAGGCCAAGTCTCCTTATCTGCCCTACCCTCCAGATGATCTGAGCCCATCAGCAGGCCTAGAATGCTATCTCCAAGCTGTTATCTTCTGTGTTAGTCAGTTTTTCCATTTCTATAACAAAATACCCAAGGCTTTGTCAAGAAAAGAAGTATATTTAACATGATGTTTTGGAGACTGAAAGGCCAAGATTGGGCTGCCTCTCGGATCTGGTCTCTGGCCAGGACCTCCTGGAGGCTGCCTTCATAGTAATAGGAGTGCAAGCAGAAAAGATCACATAGTGAGACAGGAAGTTGGAGAGAATCAAGCTGAGAGAATTCTCACAGGAACTGAATCACTCCACAGACCACCATTAAACTTTTTTTTTCAGTCTTTTTGAGACAGGGTCTCCCTGTAGCCCCCGCTGGCCTGGAACTCACTGTGTAGACCAGGCTGGCCTTGAACTCACAGAGATCCGCCTGCCTCTGCCTCCCAAGTGCTGGGAAGAAAGGAGTGCGCCACCACGCCCAGCCCATTAACCTTTTGAAGAGCAGCGTTTCTTTACACTAAGCCCCACCTCTCATGGGGTTCCCACATTGGGGGCCATGCTCCCAACATGGGTACCATAGAGGGACTTAGCACATGCAAATTGTACCAGTTTTCAAATGCATACCCCACCCCACCTCAGCCTGACACTGAGCCTGCTAGATGGAACTCTTGATTGTCCCCACCCCTTGCTCTTCCAGTACCCCTTCAGCAAATGGTACCACCCACTCTGGGCAGTGCAAACACTGGGCCTCCTCACTGCCTCTTTCGCTACTCCATTCTATCCTGTGCCCCATCATTTCTGTGCCCAGAGGCAGTGTGTTGAAGACCCTAAATCTAGACCAGACAGCTTGGGGTCTATGCTAGTGTTCCCTAAGCCCTGTGCCTTAGCTCCCTCCCTTACTAGTGGCAGTGGTAAAAGGACACACCTGGCAGCTGCTGTATTAAATGAAATATGGGACAGGAGCTTAGGCTAGTATCTGTCACATACTAGGGCCTCCACAATACAGGGTTTGCTCTTTTTATTGATGCTTATGCTCTAACTGGGTAACAATGAATGATTTTCAAATGCTTTTAAATGTTCAAATGTATGAAACTTCGGGAGGGAGGGCAGGCGGGCAGAGATAAGGAGGAAGGAATAAGGGGGGTGAAAATGAGGGCTGAAATCAGTAGAGATGCACGGACCCCAGCATTTGGGAGGCTAAGGCAGAAGATCACAAATTCAGGGACAGCCTGGGCAGGAGGGAGGGAAAATTGAGGAGGAGAGTGTAAGAAGTCCTCTATCTGCAGTTCAAAGTAAAAAGAAATAAGGTAAATCCAGGAGGATCAGGCTTAATCCAGCTTGAGCACCTGTAGCTCCTACAGCAAGGAACAGAGCTAGGGGCCAAAGGCAGAGACTAAAGTATGGGGGGCCCTGGAAGGTCTGACTTCTGGGGAGTCTGGGTCTGTTTGAGGTCAGGGGTACCTAGGATCTGGGGTTGGGGCATTTGGGGTCTGATGGGGGGGGTCTTGGGTCTGAGGTGCAGGGGCTGGGATCTGAGGTCTGAGGTGTGTGTGGAGGTGGGGTATCAGAGGTTTGAAGTCTGGGGAATCTGGGATCTTAGATACAGTGGGATCTGGGGGCTGGGAGCTGGTAGAGAGTATGTAGGGTCTGAAGCTCCGGGTCTGAGGTCTAGGGAATCTGGACTCTGAGGAATCCTGGGCTCTAAGGTGGGGGGATGAGGAGTTCTGGGTTCTGAGATCTGGGGAATCTGAGGTCTGGAGATCTGGGGGTCTAAAGGTTGGGGATTCTGGGATCTGAGGTCAGAGATCTGGAGAATCTGGGATGTGAGGTCTATGGTATGGAGGAATCTGGGGTCTTAGGTATGGGGGAATGTGGGTTCGAGGTCTGTGGAATCTGGGATATGAGGTCTTAAGATATGGGGGAATCTGGGTTCTGAAGAATATGGGATCTGGGAAATCTGGGGACTGGGGTGACCTGGAGTCTGATGAGTCTGAGATCTGAGGAATCTAGGCTCTGAGGTGTGAGTGTGTGGGAGGGTTTGGACTCTGAGATCTGGAGCCCAGGGTCTGAGGTCTGGGTGGGGAGAGGGTTTGAGGTCTGAAGTCTAGAGCTGGGACTCTGGAGTCTGAGGTCTGGAGCTGGTAGTCTGAGATGGGGTCTGGAGTCTTGGCTATGGGGGTATCTAGGCTCTGAGGTTAGAAGGTAGGGGGATTTGAGCTCTGAGGTCTGGGGAATCTGGAGTCTTGGATATGGGGGTATCTGGGTCTGAGGTCTGGGGGGGTTGTGAGGTGGGGGGGTTGAGGTCTTAAGTCTAGAGCCGGGAATCTGAGGTTTGAGATGTGGGATGTGAGGCCTGAGATATGGGGGGACTCTGGGGTCTGAGGTCTGGAGGGTTCTGAGGTGGAGGGGGAGTCTGAGATGTGGGGGAATCTGGAGTTTTGGATGAGGGTATCTAGGCTCTGAGGTCAGGAAGTCGGGGAATTTGGGCTTTGAGGCCTGGGGAATCTGGGGTCTGGGCTCCGAGGTCTGCGCTTGCGGCCCAGCCGCCTGACGCCTGCTTTGTCCTGCAGAGAGCGCCTTCGCCGACACGCTGACGCCCGCGCGCTTGGGCCAGGCCCGCCTCAGCGCCTGCCCGCCGCCAGGCAGCCACGACGCCGCCAACTTCGACAACAATGAGCTGGAGAACAACCAGGTGGTGGCCAAACTGGGCCACCTGGCGCTCGGCCGTCCGGGCGCGCCCGCCAAAACGCTGCTGGACGCCGACCTGCGCTTCCACGCCACGCGCGGCCCCGACGTGAGCCTGTCTGCCGACCGCAAGCTGGCCTGCGCCCCGCGGCCCGAAGGCGGCCGCACGCTGGTGTTTTCCGAGCGGCCGCTGCGGCCCGGGGAGAGCCTGTGCGTGGAGGTGGGCCGGCCGGGGCTGGCGGCGCCGGGAGCGCTGGCCTTCGGCATCACTTCCTGCGACCCCGGCGCGCTGCGGCCTGCAGAGCTGCCCGCCGACCCCGACGCGCTGCTCGACCGCAAGGAGTACTGGGTGGTGGCGCGCGCGGGGCCGGTGCCGAGCGGCGGAGACGCGCTCAGCTTCACGCTGCGGCCCGGCGGAGACGTGCTGCTGGCCGTCAACGGGCGCGCGCGCGGCCGCCTGCTGTGCGTGGACACGTCGCAGGCACTCTGGGCCTTCTTTGCTGTGCGCGGTGGCGCGGCCGGCCAGCTGCGTCTCCTGGGTGAGTGCACAGACACGCCCCGCCCACAGTGAGCACCAGACTTTCCATTCAGTAGGTCTGAGTGGTCCCAGCCGGTGCTTCCTCTATTACACTCTGTAAACCACCTGGATGGAGGTACCTAGCTGATGTGAGAGCTTAGGCCATTCAGTCCCTTAACAGGTGCAGTTTCTTGCTTTAGAATCTTTCAGAAAACATACGTAATGCATATTAATTGTAAGAGACAAAGGGCATTCATTGGTCTGCAAGAGAATAAAAATGGCACCACCCGCAGAGTGGAATGAAGACTTGAAGCATCCTATTTTGAGATGTTTCTTGCCTTTGCTCTTACCACAAATAGACAAAGGAACCCAGAAACTGTAGGCCACAGAGTACAGGACACCCACTGTGCTGGTGAGAAGCTGGAAAGGACAGGTGCACGGTGTGGCATTTGCTGCAGCAGAGGGAGTTTGTTCCCAACTTCGGGGAGTGAGAGCAGTGGTCAGGGAAGCCTTCCCAGAGAGCACAGCTCTACCCTCAAGGTCCAGATTATAGCAGAAACACCCAGCATCCCACATGCCACCTACTTTGCCCTTGATGTTCCTGGTGACCCCTTGAATCCATGTCATTATCTCCATCCACACGCAAGACACCTTCAAAACACATTCCCAGTCCCAGAGTGACATAGCTGGTCAGCCCAAGCATTGGGAGATCACACTTTCCTAAGCCTCAGTTTCCTTCTGGGTGGAAAGAGAGTGCTGTCTATATGGTAAGGTTACCATGAGGACGAAATTACAGGCTGTACTTCATGCCCTGGCAGGTGTCTGGCACAACATGTCACAGCTACAGCTGCAACTGTGATGTCTGAATGAGGGCAAAGGAGGAGCTGAGTGTTAGGAGTACTTGTTGGCTAGGGTGTTTCGTTATTGTTGTTGTTGTTTTTGAAGAACCATCAGACATAATCACCATTTCAGCCTTGGACAAGTTGCCCAAGGACCTACTGGGGCTTTTCAAAAGAGCCCTTCTCACCTCTACCCCACCCCCTGCACTTCAGGGGCCTGAAGTGGTCTGCAAGAGAACACAGAACAGAAAGAATTGCTTCCAAAGGCTCCCCTGCACTGCATTATCTGACCCTCCTTCAAGCAGGGTAAAGGAAGAGCTGTCTCTCTTCTTCCTAAGAGTGACCTATTTTCTGAATTATCACTGAGCTTGTCCATGTTGGCTGTACTCAAAATCAGGGATCTTAAGTTGTAACAAAACCCCATTATAAATGTCCCAAGTAAAAAGGGAAACTTAACGAGACACATAACTCAGAAGTCTGGGAGTCTCTTGAATGGATTCAGGAAAGGTGGGTCCAGGTGATGAAAGGAAGTATCATCAGGAGCATTGCTGGTTCCACTGTCAATAAGATGCGACACCAGAGTCGCATCTCCAGTTCCAGGCTGGCCGCTAAATGGCATGAGCCTTTCTAAGGCTACTAAGGCAGCATTAGGCCCTCAGTAGCCTTGCTTGGGTTACATGTCCTTCCTTGAACCACACTGGGATCAAGGGATGGAAGTTCTTTTGGCCTGGTCTGGTGAAAGTGTAGTAGAGCCCTACAGCAACATCCCAGGGCTTTTTCTGAAGCAGGAGTGGAGGCTAGGCAGGAAAAGAACAGGCATCCACCACACTGGTAGAACCCTGGCTGGTCCCCTTGTCTCACTAGACAGAAGGGAAGTCAAGGTGCACAGTCATGGAGCAGAGACAAGCAGGGCTCATGCAGCCCCTCACTCCCCTAATAGAGTCCCTTTGGTTCTCAGGTACCCTTCAGTCCAGTCCTGAGATCACAACTCCATCAGGCTCCTTCAGCGGCTCCCAGGATGACAGTGATTCAGACATGACCTTCAGTGTCAACCAGTCCTCCTCAGCGTCAGAGTCGTCTCTAGGTAAGGAAATACAAATCTATAGGGGTTGGGGCTCCTGGTGGCTTGGGTCCTTTGGCTGTGCCAGTGGTTGAGCAGGCTGGCTGTGTCTCCCATTGCACCTGTTCCTTCCCTCTACTGTGCTCAGCGGGAAGCAGAAATATAGAGATAAAGCATCCCAAAGGCTGATTTGATGGTGGTAGCATTTTATCATTATGCTTGATGAGACAGAAGGTGCAAAGTCTAGGAGATAAACCAAGATTGGAATCTTCCCCGGTGCCACCACCGTGGCAGCCCTGCTTTCATGGGGCCCTGAAGCAGAGCTACCTGAGAGGCACATCATTAACTAATGTCCTATCTCCCTTCTGGCAGTGACAGCCCCCAGCTCACCACTGAGCCCCCCAACGTCCCCAGCCTTCTCTGCACCAGAGCCGACAGGCAGCAGGAATGGCGAGTGCACGGTGTGTTTCGACAGCGAGGTGGACACAGTCATCTACACATGTGGACACATGTGCCTTTGCCATGGCTGTGGCCTGCGGCTCCGGAGGCAGGCACGGGCCTGCTGCCCCATCTGCCGGCGGCCCATCAAGGACGTCATCAAGATCTATAGGCCGTAGCTGAGCAGCTGGCTTGGCCAAGGCAAGGTCACCTTTCTGAAGCTCCTGCTGGGGAGGCAACACCATGACCACCAGGGAGCACAGGGGCAGGAGCCATCTCTTGTCTGCCACTCTGCAGTGATGGGCAAGGCAGGACAGAAGTGGAGATGAGGCCCTCAGGGCCTGAGTCCAGGCAAGTATTGCTTCCTGGCTCAAAAGTGCTTTGCCAACAAAAGCCAGTCCCAAGAGCCAGCTCAGGAACTGCCTGGCAGATCACTCACCTCTTGGTGACCTTCCGCTGGGAAAGGACGCCCTCTATCTGTGCAATGCTTCTTTGGGGTTGGGTTGAGTGTGTGCAGGGTGGGGGGAGACAGCACAGAGAATGAGTGAGAGAGAATGTGTGGGTATTTTATGCAGGGATCCGTCTCCCAGAGGGTATTTAACACTAAGGAATGTGCAATCCGGGGGCCCAAATGTTAGTGTGACTGTTGTCCACTTTCTGGGGATATGGGATGAGCTGGCTTTGAATGCATGTGGCCTAAGCCTACACAGAACTCCCTTGATGGTATAGAAAGAGACAGTCAGATTCTCCAAGGGAAGGCAAAAATAACTCTTTGTTTACAGCTCTCAAGCAGCAGCTGGTAAGGAGAAAGGTGGGCAAAGAACCCCAAAGATCAGCTCCCTTTTTGCTTTTTTTTTGTTCTTTTTGAGACAGGGTCTCCCTGTCGCCCCAGCTGTCCTGGAACTCACTATGTAGACCAGGCTGGCCTTGAACTCAGAGATCCGCCTGCCTCTACCTCCCGAGTGCTGGGATTAAAGGCGTGCGCCACCACGCCCGGCTCCGTTTTGCTTCTTACTCAGACTCAGAGGTGCGTTCTGTCAGCAGCTGAGAGCAGGCGCCCCATGCTCTGACATCTTAGATCCCTTCAACCCCCAGATAGAGTAACAAGCACCTTACCTCCTCAGCTCCGTCCTATATACTTTGGAGTTTTGTGATACCCCTCCTGTTCTCTGGGGTGACTCCATATCTCCTGCGGTAGAATTAAGAAAAGCGGTAGGCATGCCCAGGTGACCTACTGGCAGAAGCAGAAGACCTAGACTTTTACCTGGTTATTATTGCTCTGATCCTCATCTTCTTTTACCCTGATTACTAATGTGTTAACTAATAAGCCTGTTAGTCACTCATGAGGCGCTGACTGAAAAATGCTGGCATCAGGACTCTCTCCCCTTCTGGGCCTGGTGTTTCCTGGGTCCCTAGCTCTGTCCTCCTCCCAGTGAGCCAGGCCCATTTCTGTAGGCTCTTAGACCTCACCGGGGCTAATGTACTGGCTGGGTATGCTCCTCTGTTCTGAAGAGCCCCCAGTTCCTAGCTGCACCTCTGCTGGCCCTGAGTTGTTCCTTTAGGGAAGTTCCTTAGCCTCTCTGTTATTTGGTTTCTACTTGGAAGTCTGATGCCAGGACACTCTGTGAACTCTCAGGAGACTTGTACAACATTTAAAAAAGCTTGAGACACCTTGTGAAGAGCAACTGTGTGTGTGTATATATATATATGTGTGTGTGTGTATATACATAAAACTTCTAATCTGGCCATCTCTTGCTGAGAGGGAGGAAGAGTGGAAGAGAGCATTCAGGGTATGATGTGTTCATGGAACAGGCTCTGGCAGGAGCCATGCCCTCCTGGGACCTTCTGACAGCAGCCCAAGCACAGTCAGTGCTCTGGTTCACTTGAGGCCTTGGGCCTTCATTGCTTCTCTGTATAGGAGTGTCCAGCTCTTAACTTGACCTCAGCTTCCCCCTTCCTCTCTCCAGCAAGAGCCTCTGAGCCCTGGTCTTTCCTTTAGGAATTAGAGGAGCATGTCTTCCTTTGAACATTGCAGTGGAATCCTTTGAGGAGGTGTAGGAACCCTTGTTTGCCTAGGTGATAGTCTGAGAATCAGGACCCTGAGTATCCAGCTCACTGTGCTCAGCTGAGCCTTCTGCTTCTCCACGTCCTAGGTATGGACAGAGCCATCTTACCACCAATGACTGTGGGTCTCCAGGTAGCCATGGCCCTGAGTGCATTGAGATGTAGTCACTAACTGCCATGGTCTCTGGCCTCAGGGAGTCAGCTCCTCTCTGCCTCTTGCCCTCCTGGCTGGCCCCTTGAATTACAGCAGGAATCATTCACAGCCACCACCAGGAAACCAGCAGCTGAAATCCTGGACCCTAGCTGTGAACCACTCATGCTCCTGGTGACCTGTTACCTGGGCAGAAAGGAACCAGAGGCCAGTTTAACCTGCTCTGCAGCCACTATAAATAGCTACCTTGTTTCCCAGAGAGCACAGGGGGGCATTTCTATTCTAAAAGCCAGATATTTGCCCATGCTGTGAATGATGGATTCAAGCCTGTGGGCAATGCATATGTTCCCTGCTCTGGCCATCTCAAAAAGGGGCAAGTGGAGAAAGGAGCCAGTGTCTTCTATTTGTACCTACTATGTGCCTTGGCACTGAGCTAGAGAGGCATCTTTATATATCACCCTGTGTGCAGGACTTCGTGCCATATCGAGTCCTATCTAAGACCCTGTTGGTTAGAAGGCACATGGTCTCATGGGCAACTACAAAAGCCATACCCACCTTAGCTGCAGGATGCTGAGATGTGGGGTCCAGGTTAGAGATGTTCAGCTGGGGAAAACAGCTACTTAGGATCCATGAAATACAGTAGTTAAGCTCTAAGATCCTGTGAGTGAGTGAGTGAGTGAGTGACTTAAGGGTCAAGCAACAGGAAGTGGCAGGGCTGGTATTCTAATGTCCAATCCCACACACACCCCTGCCTGCCGTGGTCCTCAGAAAGCTCAGCACTGCCGAGGTCTTCTTCCCTAGAGCTCACCTGAAGATCCTGGGCACCCACATCTGTGTAGAAGGTTCTGAGCCACAGCCTCTCTTCTGCCCATGCCCTAGAGGGACAAGATGTCCTCAGGCTCATGCAGTCACTGCCCATCTGCTCCCAGAAGAGCTAAGTCATGGGAAACCATGGCTCCAGCCCAAAGTCTGTTCCCTGGGGGCACCATGTGGGGTAGCTCTGAGGAGAGACCTTAGCCATCCCTTTCTGGGACCTGGTGGCCATTCCCCTCTCAGGCAGGACCCCTACCCCCGTTTTTCAGGCTCACTGCCAATTGTGTACCCTGTGAGCCTTAACAGCCAGGAGTAGTATGGGAGAGGCCATGTGATCCCCCTCATTTAGAGCAGCCTTGTCCCTACCCATGGGAGCCCCTTGGAAAACAGCTCTTTCCCAGGCAAAGTAAGCTCCTATGTCATTGCCAGAGCAGCCAGTTTAGCTACTGGGGCAGCTGCCCTGCACAAGCTGTGACAGGACTTTTCAGTTGTTTGACACCCACTCACCAGCATATCCCATGATCTGGACATGAGGTCAACAGCTGGGAACAAAGACAAAGACTGCAGGGACCTCTCAGTCCAGAGGAGGGTGGCCAGATCATAAGCTGATCTGATCATTCTGGCGTTGGGTCCTGTGTTAGCACATAATAGGTACTCAGTAAAGGACTGCAGATCAGACCAGGATCCAGGTTATGAGTGGCCAGGGGTTTGGTGAAACAGCATTACGCATGGACACAAAGTCATTCAACAAATAATTGCTGAGTACCCACTGGATGTGAGCTGCCTCAGTGAGGAGGGAGCAGAGAGGGTGTACCCAGCCCTAGTGTCAGAGTAGTGCTATCAACAGGGTAAAGAGACCAAATATGTGGGCTTTCTTGACCATTCTGTTGCCTTGGGTCCATCTAGGTAAGTGCCCACAGAGCCTCCCACATCCACATTAGACTCCTGGGGTCCCTTGTGGTAAGCTCCTGCCAAACAGCCAAGATCCCACTGGTGAATGACCTCCTTCAGATCCTGCAGGGAGTCTCTGGGGAGAAGATTACCTGCTAATTCCAAGCACTGGAGGCCCAAAAGAGCCCTGAGTCCCAGGCTGAGAAAGGTATTGTGCAGCCTGAGGGCATGTAAGGCAGTGACCTCCCACTGCTCCATCCCTCCTGCCCTGGCAGGGGACATGGCTCAGGAACACATGGCCTCCCTGCATTTCCTGGTAATTTCGTGTCTCACTGTCTTATCCAAGTCCCCAGTGGAATAACCCACATGACAATCTGTCTGTGCCTTATGAAAGTGTGTGTGCACTTTTTATCCTTTAAAGAGCAACTTTTCAAGGTGAACAAGACACTGGCAGGTGTGGTAGGACTCTAGATGCCAGTAAGGAGTCAAGAGTCCCTTCTGCGTTTAGCTGCTGGAGTAATAAAGTGTCCATCCCACCCCACCCCTGCTACCTGTGTACAGACCCTTTGAAGCGTGTCTGTTCTTTTTTTCAGATTCAATACTGTGACTCTCCGATACCATCAGTCTTTGGGGGACTATATTAAAGGTTTTAGAGCTTGGGGAGTGGTCCAGGAAGGGTTTGCACTGGTCTTTGTGTGTTGTGTGTTCTGGTATTTGTCTGTTTTTATCTGTTTTATATTAACATAAATTTCTGTTTGAAAAACAAATACAATTTTGGCTTGATTTAAAAAAAAAAAAAAGTCTCATCAGAATTGAATTTTTTAAATTGTGCTGGATGTCACTTTGGCAGGTGGATGGAGGGTTCCAGATCCTGTCTGCCACAAAGCAAGTGGCATGGTGTTTAGAGAGTCATGTAACTTACACTGCAGTGAAGTCCTTTTAAGGATGAGCTCTAGGGGTCAAGATGTCCCATATCACATTACTTAGCATGACAGGAAGCAGAATCCCCAGTGTGCAGCAAATGGGCTGTGCAGCCTTAACACGAGTAACAGAAAATCAACTGGGGTGGGTTTGGAGAATAACAAACAGAACCGAAGAGTGGCATGGCAGAGCCCTTTCCAGTGAGCAGCTCTCCTTGTAAAACACTGCATCAGATTGACCTCTGCCCTGCCCCCTTTGTTCTCAACCCCATTCCCAGGCAGATTCTCAGGACTGGCTGAAGGTCCAGCCTGCATTCTGCTTTTGATAATCCCTATGTGGACCAACCTGGTTGGGGTGTCCCTTCCTGAACCAAGCCCTAACACCAGGGAAATGTGGACCTGATTGGCCAGCCCCAGGATGTGAGTGTGTGTGGTTCTCACCTGTATCCCACAGACTAAAAGCCCCTTTCCCAGGAATATCAGAGCAGCGAAGGAGTGCATTTGGCAGGTGGGGAAACTGACATCTCTATAGGAAAGGTTTCATGAACCATGAGACAAGGATTGGCAGAGCTTATGTATGGCGAGAGGCAGGGCAGCCTGGCCCTAGCATTGCATGAAACTTACCCTCTTTATACCTCGGTTTTCTCGTCTGCACAAGAGTCATGATAGCTCTTGTATCAGGGTGGGTGTGAGCATTATTGTGGCCATGCTGGAGACATGCTGGACACCAGCATCCAGTACTCATAACATTCAACCAATGTTAGCAGAGTCTATGACACAGAAATGGATTTATACTAAAAATCAGTGGGAACAGAAGCAAAAGGATTGAAACTAGTTCAAGGCTACCCTGATCTACATAGCAAGTTCCAGACCAGCCACAGAAAAGCAAGGTATAAAACCACACTCATGGTGTGACCCTGATGGATGTGGAAGAGCAGCCAGCAGCCCTGCATGCCTGTGGATCTGGACCATGGCAGAAAATAGCAAGTGTGCTGCACCTGAGTGATGACCTTATGATGACTGCCTGTGATTTTTTTTATTTCCACATTTTCTTTTTTTAATATTTTACTTATTTACTGTGTATGGGTATATTGCTTGCATGTAGGTAGGTGCACCTGTGTCATGCAGTGCCCTTGGAGATCAGAAGAGGGTGTTGGATCCCCTGGAACTGGAATTGCAGATGATTGTTAGCAACCATGTGGGTGCTGGGAATTGAACTCGGGTCCTCTGCAAGAGCAGTCAGTGCTCTTAACTGCAGAGCCATCTTTCCAACCCCAAATTCAACATTTTCTATAATGAGCACTATAGCTATTCATTTAAACTTAAGTTTGGAAAGAAAATTATCTCTCTATTCTGTTCTGCAAAACCCAAAGTCTACAAAATTTCATGTCTACAAACAGCTGGCCCCAGCTGGAATTTGGTGGAATTCCCAGGCGGCCAGTCTGTGAGTTTAAGATCCACATTTAGTCATGGTAGAGATAAGGCTGGGCTGACTGACTTGGTTGGGCTTTGTGCAGGCTGGGTTTAGGGCTCAGATGACTGGGGTAGAGCTAGCAGCAACCCCAGGAAGGGGGATGAGGGTGTGATCCAGGCCAGCTTTTCCCAGCTGGAACACTGCATTGGGGGCAGTGGCACAATAAAACCTTGCCAGCCTTTATCAAGAAGCAGAAGCTGATTTCCACACACTCCAGTGGCTCTTCAGCATTCTCATTTATAGGTGAAAAGACCAAGGATTCCCCATAAGGAGAAGTAGGGTTAGACCCAGGTAGGAAGGAAAAATCATTCAAAAATGTATTTGTTCACTTTTCAGAACCTGGGCTCCAGCCTTCCTCCCATGATGCCACCTGCTGCCTTGGAGCCAGGGGACATTTTCATAAATGCCATCTAATAATCAAGACTTTTATTTTTAGAAAAGAGACATTTATGGCATATATTGTAAAAGCATATCAGGCATGTTAGTAATGGAAGAATCACCTGCCAAATACTTTGTTTTGGTGATGATGGTGGTGAGGATTGAACCCAGGACCTCCCAAATGCTAGGTAAGCACTTTGCCACTGTGCTTGTTCCCAGCTCAGGACTTAATTTTAGTAAAAAAAAAACAACCACATTAATCTGGGTTCTTTAGATGTAGGCTATATAGTGAGACTCTGTCAATTAATTAATTGATTAAGGGAGGGAGGGACAGAAGGAGGAAGGGAATGAAAGCCCAACTTGAGGGCGAAAAAAAAGGAAAGAGGAAGAATTTATTGACTAATATACTGAATAGGTCGGTTCTGGCTGGCTTCAGGAATGGCTCGACCCAGGTGTTCATCACACACCTATCTCTGTCTCTCCATTCTGCTTTCCTCTAAGTTGGTGTCACTCTCGGGCAGGTTTAGCCTTTGTGGCAATCAAAGTGGCCCCAGTGCTGCTTAACTTACATCATGCCAACTTGGTAACTATGTTAATAATTTGTCTTGTTGCTGAAATAAAACACCTGACAGAAGCAGCTTAAGGAAGGAAAGCCTCGTTTTAGGTCACAGTTCCTGGGGATGCAGTCCATCCTGAAGGGGAAGGTATGGCATCAGGAGCAGGAAGTGGCTGTCCTGCTGTGTCTGAATGCTGGTACTCAGCTCATGTTCTCATTTTATATTCAGTCTGGCAATTAGGGCAGGTCTTCCCACTTCAGTTAACCTAATCTAGAAAATGCCTTATAGACATGATTTGTCTCCAATTAATTCTAGAGCCTGTCAAGTTGAAAATCAATATAAACTACCACCAGTCCACCCTTATCAACTTGACACCCAAACACTTAATCCTGTCAAGTTGAAAATATAAACTACCACCAGTCCACCCTTATCAACTTGACACCCAAACACTTAAGTCATAACCTCCCACCCTTGTTCCCTCAGACTCATGGCCATCTTACAAGGCAAAAATACATTCAGTCCAACTCCAAAAGTCCCCAAAGCCCTTAATAGTTCCAATACTGATTAAAAGTCTCATCTGAGATTCAAGGCAGTCACCTCACTGTGAGCTCCCAAAATAAAAAAAAAAAAAAGCTACATGCTTCCCATATGCAATGGTAGAGAACAAACATTCCCATCTCCAAAGGGGGGAAAATATGGGCATAGTAACAAATGATTGGACCAAAGAAAGACCATTACCCAGCAGGGCAAATACCAAGCCTTGCAGCTCCATCTCTGGCATCTGGGACTCATAATGGAATCATCTGAGCAAAGAGATTACATAGCCCTGCCCTCCAGCTTTGCTGGTTGCAATAGACACAGCCTCTCTCTTGAGTCAACTCCACCCCATGCCCACAGCTTGCCTCAGCAAACGTCCCATGGTTCCGGTATCTCCAGCATCCTGGGGTCTCCATTACAGCTTTTCACCTTCCAGCTTCATGTAATGGCCTCTCATGGACTTCAATTCTGTCACATATCTGTCCTCAACATATCTCTGGAACTATAGTATAAGACTCCATGAACCCCCTCAATCTTGAATTTTTCATGTCTGCAAAACCAGTACCATGTGAATGATAGTGCCAAGTTCTGCTATCAGCTTGGGTTGGAGTTCTTGGACCATAGTTGCAGTTGCCTATATGTGCTGACCATGGGGAAGCATTTTCCTAGGCAGTTACTTTCTAAGCAGGAACCCTCAGCCTGTTTAGACTCTCTCTCCTCTCAAATGAATTTGTGTTTTCACAATTGAGAATTTTTTATAGGTGGGGTCTTGCCCTCTGGGGACACCTTTCCTATTGTCCTACTGCAGAGTAGGAGACTTCTTGAAAGATTACAGACTCCTGGGACTGGCGAGCTGGCTTAGTGGTTAAGAGCACTGGCTGCTCTTACAGAGGACCAGGGTTTTGTTCCCAGCACTTGCATGGTAGCTAACAGCCATCCATAACTCCAGTTCCAGGTGATCTGATGTCCTCTTCTGAGAGGCATTGCATGATGGGTGCACTTACATACAAGCAGACAAAACATTCATACACATAAGATGTATATAAGTAAATAAGTAAAAATTAAAAAAAAAATTATAGACTCTTATATCATGTGCCTTGGCCACAACTCAAAACTTGCTTGAATTCTATTCCTCAGCTAACTGCACATTTTTATACCTTTCTGCCTCACTTCTTGTTCTTTTTCACTGTAGACCTGGAGAGGAATGGTGAGCAATAGCCATACCACAGCCTGAATGCTGTCCTGCATTGAAATTACCTCTGCCAAACAAATTAGCCATTACTCCTGATCTCAGCCTCACTCAAGTTCTCAGCACACAGGGAATATGCAGTCAGATTATTTATTGAGATATCATGCAAATGACCACTAACCCAGTTCCCAATAAAGTCCTTGTTCTTCCAAAGCCCCATGAGCTGGCCTCCACTGTCAGCATTTCTGCCACCTTCCTGGTTCTCCAAACTCCCACCAGAACAGTTCCTTAACCTCTGCTTATAGCACCCAGGGCTTTTCTAGCTCAAAGTTCCAAGCTCTTCCGCATTCCTCTGGCAAATCAGTTCCAAAGGCCAAAGAACCTCGTGGTTAAGTTTTCCACAGCAACAGCCCCACTTCTCAGTACCAATTTTCTATACTGGTTGATTTTCTTGTTGCTGGGATCAGGGCTTTTCTAGCTCAAAGTTCCAAGTTCTTCCGCATTCCTCTGGCAAATCAGTTCCAAAGGCCAAAGAACCTCATGGTTAAGTTTTCCACAGCAACAGCCCCACTTCTCAGTACCAATTTTCTATACTGGTTGATTTTCTTGTTGCTGGGACAAAATACCTGAAAAAACCAAAGGAAGGAGAA